CCATTCCCGTCGAGGTGCTGGCCTCCGGCACCCTAGAGGACAGGGTCGAAGGGTCCCGTGGGTTTCTGAGACGGCCCTGGGTTATGGAAAGCCCCATCTTTCTCCCTTGGAGCGATTGGTGATTTCAAACTCTTGATGTTACCGTTGCCCAGCCAACATATCACCACGACCCCACGGGAGCAGGCGGGCACATGGAGGCCAGACGGAGCCATGATTGTTCCAAGTCAGGCTGAGAGCAGGTGGTCATGTCCTACAGGCCTCTGTTCAGCCCCGTGTCCCAGGGAGGGATGGGCCCACCAATAGCAGACCCACAGAGAGCAGTGGGGCCCTGTTCGGGGATAAGTCCATCTTTGGGGTGGTGAGGCAAAGCCCTGGTGGGGGAGACAGGGCACTGATCCCCGGTGGAAGCTGATGAGGCCTCCTGGCTGTGGTCTTCATCTCCTGCCTCTTCTCCAGTTCAGCACCGGTGGCGACAAACGCCCTGCCTTCTGGATCGACACCGGCATCCATTCCAGGGAGTGGGTCACCCAGGCCAGCGGGGTCTGGTTCGCCAAGAAGGTAAGCCTGGAACGGTGAGGGTGGTGGTGGCCTGGGGGTGTCAGTAGAAGCCCTGCCTCTCTGTCCTTTCCTACCTGGAAGCGGTGATGACTGAGTGTGTGTGTTTGCGTGTGTGAGAGGCTCTGTCTCTTGTCCTGGCCACCCCACGGCCCTCTGATTCTCCCCACCCCTCATTCCCAGATCGTGACCGACTACCAGAAGGACGCACGTCTCACGTCCTTTCTCAACAACATGGACATCTTCCTGGAGATCGTCACCAACCCTGATGGCTTTGCCTTCACCCATAGCAAGGTGCCAGCCTTCTCTTGGTCTCAGGGAAAGCGTGATGGTCTGTGTGTGTGTGTGTGTGTGTGTCTCACAGACAACCAACCCTACCCAAGCCCAACTCCCAGAGGTCCAGACGGGGCGCACCGACCTGTCTCCTCCACCGAACTTCTCAGTCTTGCCTTGTGGGCTTTGGGGGCCATCTCGTTCTTTATTGGGGGTCTGGGTCTGTAGGATGTTGACCCACATGCAGACGCTTCCCTGCCGGCCCCCAAACCTATCCCCAGACATTGTCAATGTCCCTGAGGGAAGGGCACATGTGTCCCCTGGTTCAGAACCACTGACCTAGATCTTACCTTCCCCAGACTTTGAGTTCAACAGTGACGGTATCAGAGCCCGGGGTAGGACTGGTTTCTGGTCGCTCAGCAGTTCGAAACCTTCAGCCGTTCCTGGAGAAAATGATGGGGCTTTCTACTCCCGTAAAAGAGTTACAGCTTTGAAAACCTACAGGGACAGCTCGACCCTGCTCTATGGGGTCACCCTGAGTCAGAATTGACTTGATACAGTGCTTAAAAATAAATAATGCTCTACCATTCAAACGGGAGGGGCCACCTCATGCCTCCTTCATTCCTCATCAGGTGGGCCCTCTGGCCCAGTGTGTCCTCTGCTTCCCCACCCCCTCTTCTCCACTCTCCTGACTAGCCCCCCACCTCCGTCCTGTGGGAAGTGGTTTCCTACCTTGTATGTGAGTCCCACGCTCTGGATCTGGGTGCCTGGGGCTAACTGTGCGGCTCACAGTCCACGCTGCGCAGGCCCGAGCCACAGGCCAGCATGTGCCCCTGTGGTGCTGGGCAGCCGCCAACATGCATCCTTTCGTCTTTCCGGCTCTGCAGAACCGCTTGTGGCGTAAGACACGCTCCATCACGCCAGGCTCCTCCTGTGTGGGCGTAGACCCCAACCGGAACTGGGATGCTGGCTTTGGGGGTGAGGCCCTGTGGGATGTGGGGAGCGTGAGGGGACAACGTAGAATGACTTCTTACCCCTTGTGGTGTTTCTGAAAGGCCTGGGTTGGGGGTGGGGGGGCCGGGGCCGGTTCCCCGTCCACACCTTCCTCCTTGGTCCCTCACTGCCTGGCTGAGACCCGCTTGGCTGAGTGTCAGGCCTCGCCTCTCTGGGCATGGCCAACCTGCTGCCTGAGCCTTGTTGGGGGAGGCAGGTTCCCAGTTGATGGGAGGCCTCTGGCCTTCCTGAATCCCGAGGATAACCCCTCTGGAGCCCACCCGACCTCAAGTTCACGTCGGGGGCCACTGTGGGTGTGGGTGCTGCTGACGGTCCCCCTCCCTCTCACAGTGGCCGGCGGAGCTAGCAACAACCCCTGCACGGAAACCTACCACGGCAAGTTCCCCAACTCTGAGTCTGAGGTCAAGGCCATCGTGGATTTTGTCAAGGACCACGGGAACATCAAGGCCTTCATCTCCATCCACAGCTACTCCCAGCTCCTGCTCTACCCTTTCGGCTACAAGATGGACCCGGCCCGTGACCAGAGTGAGCTGGTACGTCCTGGTGGTCCGATAGGGGGTGTGCCCCTGGAGCCTGCTTCAGAGCACAGAGCACTGCCCTCCTCCCACAGACCTGAGGTCTTGGGCAGCTCATCACAGAGCAAGCTGCCAGACACGACTGGGAGCGCGCAGGGGTGCCCTGAGCACTGTAGGGCGAGGCCAGGGCAGCCACGGGGGCTGGGGGTGGGGGTGGGAGGGAAGTGCTGGCAGACACTGGGTAGGCCTGGGAGGTGGCGCCGGGCTCTGGCCCTGCCATCCTGTGCTTTTTGCTCTGGGTCACTCTGCCAGTGGGCAGTGCCCAGTGTCCCTGGTCATGACAAGTGGACTTGCTGGATGTTTTCTCCAGGACCAGCTGGCCCGGTCTGCGGTGACGGCCCTGGCTTCTCTGTACGGGACCAGCTACCAGTACGGCAGTATCATCCAAACCATCTGTAAGTGACTCCTTGCTCGCTCCTGGTGGCCTGGGAGGAGCCTCTGCCAGCTCTTCCTACCCAGGGGGTGTCCCTTCTGGGATGGGGTAGCCAAGAGTACCTAGATCTGGGAGTGGAGGTGGGGGAACCGTGCCTGCCGTGGCTCAGTGGTTTGGAGGACTAGCCCATGTCCCCGCTGGCCTTCCTTCACTCCGACAAGGAGTGAGTCCCCTGAAGAGCCATCCATCTCCCATGTTTGGGGGCTAAGTCCAGCTTCATGTATGGAGGTGAGGGTGAGTTCTTCTGCTGCGATTTAAACATCACCAGGAAACGTCACTTCCGCCCCCCCCCCCATCTCTCCTTCCCCTTTTTTCCTTTTTAAAAAACAATTATTTTATTGGGAGTTCATACAACTCTTATCCTAATCCATCCATCCATTCATCCATCCACGGTGTCAAGCACATTTGTACATTTGTTGCCATCATCATTCTCAAAAGATTTGTTCTACTTGAGCCCTTGGTATCAGCTCCCCATTTCCCCCCCCCCTTCCCGTTCCCCCTCCCTCTTGAACCCTGGATAATTTATAAATTATTATTATTTTGTCATGTCTTACCCTGCCCTTGAAACTCCACTTTAAGTGAAAGAAATCCTCCTTCCTCCTCCTCCCATGAGAGGGAGGGGCTAGCTGCTTTCAGGCCCATCCCCCACACCAGGGAATCCATGGGTGCCAAGTGGAACGGTGCCTTCCAGAGTGCTCCAGGTTGCATCCTCCTGGAAGCAGAGCCCCAAGCCCGTCTCCTGAGATGCCAGCGAGTGGTTTTGTTGAGTGCCAACAACCCCTGGGCTCCTCATCCAGCCACCCACTGCCATGCAAGCTTAGGAATGCAGCGTGTGGGGAGGGGCGGTGTAGGAGAGGGGGTGCACTCAAGTGATTGCTGAGTGCTGCCTTGGGAGCCCGACTGGGAGCCAGGATCGCCAAGTTAGTCACTGGGGTGACAAATGGTCCTGAGGAAGTAAGGAGGGGTGGGTAATGCTAGGAGAACAATTATTTTATTGGGAGTTCATACAACTCTTATCATCATCCATCCATCCATCCATCCATCCATCCATCCATCCATCCATTGTGTCAGGCACATTCGTGGAGCTGGGGGAGGGGGTCTGGGCACGTGTTGCAGGGTGGCACTCCGGTACCAATCAGTGGCCAAGAGCTCGGGGGGCTGCTACAGGGAGTGAGGGCACTGACCGTATCAGGGGTCAGGGGCTTGGGGCCTGGTCTTCCTGGCCCAGAGGGATGAGAACCAGTGTGGAAGGCAGAAGGCGGGTTTCTGGGCATGGAGGACAGCTGTGCTCCTCCCTCACATACCTCCTGACCCCGCTGCGCAGGCCAGGTGGGGCCGGAGCGCCATCGTCACTGAGGCTGGCCTTGCTTCTGGGCCCCCAGGTCTGCTTTGAAATGACCTTCCATGCTGAGCCTACTCACTCCTACTGCCCTGCCCAGGTTAACTGGACGTGTTCTTTCCTGACCTGCCAAGAGAGCAGCCCCATCTCACCCCCCATCTGCCCTCTCTCCCTGCCCCATGGCAACCATCCCCCTACCTTCTAGTTAGGCATTGGAAGTGAAGTCATGCAACAGCCACCCTGGTGTGGCTGGCTTCTCTCCCTCGGCCCAGGGTTTCCGAGGCTCACCCCTGTGCCAGGGCTGCCCTTCTCTTTGTGGAAAAGTCGCCCCAAGGGGATTGATCCATTGTACACACTGTTGATTCCTGGGGCTTTTTTGCTCCGAGTCTGGCCGGCTTGGACTTTCCCCTAAAGAAGCCCACCACAGAGGAATGGCCCTTGGCTGGCCACCAGTGGCTGTTGGCTGGGCAGAGGTTTCTTAGCTCTCCTAAGATTGCCATTCATTCAATGGGAGACCATCGCTGTCCACTCCCTTGGCCTGCGGAAACGCCTCCACAGGAGCTTCTTGGGAGGCCAGTGCCAGACGCCTAGCAGCCTGGGAACCTGTTCCCAAGAGGCTGACTCCCCATTCTCCTCCCTGTTCTTGTCCTCACCCCAGACAAAGCCAGCGGAGGCACCATTGACTGGACCTACGAGCAGGGCATCAAGTACTCTTTCACCTTTGAACTCCGGGACACCGGACGCTACGGCTTCCTGCTGCCAGCTTCCCAGATCCTCCCGACTGCCCAGGAGACCTGGCTGGCCCTTCAGGTCATCATGGAGCACACCCTGAATCATCCATACTGAGCTGACCCATTGCTTCCCCTCCCTGGCCCCACAAATCAAATAAAGCCTGATCATCCACGGAGCAGAATCTCGGGTTTGCATGTGGGATGCGTACGGGGGCCTGTACCTGTTCACGCGGGGGCAGAAGTGACTGAGTTCCGACAGCCCTGCTGGAGATGTGTGTGGGGTTGGACAAGATGACCCTTAAACTCCCCTGCATTCTGTGGCCTGGTGAAGTCCTATCCATGTGGCATCTGTGTCAATGAGACCACCCTGAACACAGCTCCTCAATGGGGTGATTTGTTCGCACCTCGGTCATTGGTCACAGCTATAGCTGCTCCCAAATGGCAGACGCCCCGAGAGGTGAGGAATTCGGCCTGCATAGTAGTCTGGTGTGTTAGACAGGGTTCTCTAGAGAGATAAAACCAAATTGTTGATAATTTAATATATTTATTTAATAAGATAGATATATAACAAGAAATGAACTGCTAAATCATATACAGATAAATATATAATACAAGAAAGAAACAGTTAAATTATAAAGCACTACAAATGGCTCAATTCAACTCACTCCCGTGAGAGAGATGTGAGAGACTAGCAGTCGTCTGCTGCCAGATCTTCCTCTATTTATAGAGAGAGCTAGGCTATGTCAGCACAGCAGCCAATCAGAAGGCAGGTCACCAACTGCCAGCCAGGTCACCAACTGCCAGTCCCCAGCTCCAGCGATATCTTAAAGGGACCTCAACTTACAGCGACACAGTCCACAGGCTAGGGGTCCCACAGGTAGTGTAGCCTTTAAATTGAGGCACAGAACAAGCAAGGCAGCTGCACACTGGTCCGATGATCAAAGAGCAAGAGACAAGAAAGATGAGGCTCACAGAGCCATTTATCTCTAATCCCACTTGTGTTTATCGGCCAGGCTGGCTCAATAAACTATCTCATCTGGCTAGTCGCACTCGTTCATCTATAAAAGCCATAACCTAGACCACGAAATAGGATAGGCCCGGTGGCCGCTGCTGTCCAAAATAGGCGTTTCAGCCACATAAAGCAAACTCCTATGAAGCGAAATCGGGTCTCCCACTCTGAAATTAACTGGGAAGAAAACGAGTGGGTTGAATGGAGTCACTTGCTGAGGATCAAGGGCAAGTGCCAACCCTAGCACGGGGTTGGCTGTCCTAGACCATGTGAGTGTGACCTTTCAGTTCGCCACAGCCCTTCCTGCATCTACGGCGCCTCGGTTCCTGCCTGCTATCAGCCCTTTCCATGCCCAGGATGTGTCCCATGTAAGGCTCTAAGAGGAGGCCCGGTGGCGGCGTGGCCACGCGTTGGGCAGCTAACTGCAAGGTCAGCAGTTAGAAACCGCAGCCGCTCTCAGGGAGAAGCAGGAGGCTTTCTGCTCCCGTACAGAGTTCGTCTCGGAAACCCACGGGGGCCATCTTACCTGTCCTCTAGGGTTGCGATGAGTTGGCTTCGAGTCGATGCAGTGAGTTTATTAACTACTTTTGTTACGGCTTTCCTATCAGCACCCTGCACAGCGCCTAGCACTTGGCCTTCCTGCTTTGGCTGAGTGATTCTGGTGGCTGTGATGTGACCCTTGAGGGCTGTGAGCACCACAGGGCACAGCAATCCCAACTTTGGGCCAGACAT